ACATACACACACGCATACATACACAGACCAGTGCCTTGAACCCAGGTACATACACAGATCTGTGTCTTGAGCACTTCAGCACAGATCTGGGTCTTGAACCCAAATGCAGAAAAAAAAAAAAAAAAGAAAAGAAAAAAAAAGACACTAGAAAAGGAAGGAGAAGCCTAGATTTGCCAAAGTGGAGAGAGCACCCAGATCGTGTGTGTTTCCTTTGGATTTGCCAAAGTGGAGAGAGCACCCAGATCGTGTGTGTTTCCTCTGGATTTGTCGAAATGGAGAGAGAACCCAGATCGCTTGTTTCGTTGCTCCAGCTTTCGTTGCATTGAGAGAGAGAGAGAGAGGAGCTGGACGCTGGAGAGAGAGAGGGGAAAAAAAAAAAAGAAATGAAGACTTTTGCTGCTAAGGGGACTCGAAGGGCAGACCTCATTAAAGCCCCAAAATTGTTCTCCTTATTTTTAAATTTTTCAAAAAAAACTCTGAAAAAAAAACTAGCCTTATTTTTTGTTTCTTTGACTCAAATCTCATTGTTTTCCAAAATTTTGAGAACAAAAATACTAAACAAACAGGTTTTTGGTGTTTTTGAAATTTTGAAAACAAAAAACTGTTTCTGGATCACAAACCAAACATGGCCTAACATTCCAAGTAGATAGTAAAAAAATATGTGACCACCAAGTTGAGCCATCAATTAAGACCATAAAATATTGGAATGGTCCATATAAATAGGTCGACAAATATACCCTTGAATTCTTTGTAAAAAAAGTTACAGATTCAACATTGACTCTTGCGAGAGATGGTCTAACAACCAATTTTCCTTGTGAACAAGTAATACATAGGTAATCATTCCGCAAAAGAATCTTCTGGTTCTTTAGAGAATGTTCATGTGAGTTAGTTATAATTCGACACATCGTTATTAACCCATGGTAACCAAGTCAGTAATGTCAAAGAACAAAAGTCTTTGAATTATAGATCTTTTGGTTCATCACATTATTTGATTCAATTGTTCTTATGGTTGCATAGTAAAACCCAAAAGAAAAGGTAGGAAGATTCTCTAATATAAGCTTCAGACATAAACAATTGAAGTAATATAGAGATACTAGTCATAACCCGTGCCTGAAGGCACAATGAAACATAAAATTTGAGCGTCCAAAAAAGCGATCTCACTGCATTAAATAATAATTTTTATTTCCTTCATTTATTTGATTACATTATTTAAAATTTATTTCTATCCATTATTTTTTTAAAAATATCGACAAAAATAAGTAATTCGATAAATTTTTTTAATATGTGTATAAGATCGTATATGGATAATGTCTGAAATAAAAATTATGTTAAACTACAAATTAATCAAATATTAAATGATTAAACATATCATAGAAATAGATGATGTGATGATTTTGAGGGAAAAAATATGTATGAGATAAAATTTTAAACACCTAGCTGTTTTATTATATAAATTTTTCATTATTATCATTTATAGTCTCAATGTGAAATCCATTACGACATATATCTTTAAAACTTAGCAGATTTCTTCCAAATCTAACTGAATATAAAGCGTCATTGATATAGATTTTTGTTTCTTTTGGTAACATGATAATAGCTCTTTTGGAGCCTTCAATCAAGTTTGTAGAACCCAATATTGTATTTACATTAACTTTGGCTAATGTTAAGTTGGAGAAAAATCTTTTATGTCGAAGGGTTATGTAGGTTGTGCCACTGTCTACTAGACATGCATATTTACCATTCATTTCAAAATTGAACAATTGGTAAGTAATGTCCATTCCTTTTCATTCTAAAAAACAAAATCACAATAAGCTTAAATTGAAAGAAAACATAAGAAAATAAAGGAAATGCATGCTTAAGAACTAAGAAAGGATAATATGAGAAGAAAAATAACACTAATCGATGTGGACATTCCCATCTCTGATCAAATGATCAATTTTTCCATTAGGATCCACAAAGAAATTAGAAACATCAAAGTAAGTTATGTCAATTGGATGGGCAACATCAAGACAAGTAAGGTCCACTAGCTCACGATAATCAATGAAATTTGTCTCCATCTTCTTTCATTTTCCCTTTATTAATGTCTTGTAAAAGTTCACCAAATGTTTGGACGCACGACTAGTACGAAACCAATGTTCTTTCATACTATACTTATAGCAAACTTTTTCATAATGCTTGGGTGGTTTATTCAATAAACTCTTTCCTTTGTTGTGCTTTGCCTCTTTGTTTGTTTGTGTTGTTATGACCACGGTGTCAATTATCATTTCAACCACGCCCACGTTTATTATCATGACACTACAGTATGAGGTGGCATTCACTCCAGGAAATGGTGTAGGATCAGTCTGGCAAAATTAATGGTTTTTCATCAAAAACTCGTTATTTTATTCAACCACAAAATGATATGATATCATGCCAAAATATTTAATAAACCAACACTCTCTATATTGCTACTAAAGGAACATATTAGAGGTGTGAAATGATAGTCATACAAAGGTGGAGTAAACACACTATCGAAGGTGGAGTATATTTTCTCTAATACGTCTTTATCAATCATTTCTTCTCCATATAGTGTCAATCGTGAGCAAATTTTGAATAGTGTTAAGTTACAATCACTCGCCTTTTTAAAATCTTGCAACCTCAGGTGCTCCCATTCATGCTAAGCATTTGGGAGTATAATGGTCATTTGGGAGTTTAATGGTCTTTTGGTGGTCGTATCATTCCTTTAATTTATTTCAAAGGACAAGTGAATCATTTTCCGTGAGATATTCGCATTTCAATCCTTCAGGAAGGTGATAACGAAGGAATATCATTACCTTTGCGCGATCATACAAGGATGCGTCATTTCTTTCTTTGATAGTATCATCAAGATTCATAGCTGTCACGTGGATCTAAATTCATAGTTGTCAAGTGGATCTAAAAGCTTCAATGATCCAAGAAAGATGTTACCGAAATATCGAGAGCGACAATCTCAAGTTTAGTGAGATTCGACATGAAGTGAGTACTATAAAATTAAAATTTCACTATTAGAATAAACTAATAAGTTAAATAATCAACATCAAGATCAAGTACTCCTTACCCATGTAATGAAATGATTATGATATTTTATAATCATTACATAAAATGAAATGATAAAATGATATTTTTAACATGAAATGATAAAATGAAGTAATGATAACTTAACAAAAAACTACCTTCTTATGGATCTCCAAAAAAAAAAAAAAAACCCATGGAATAAAAGTAAGAGCATGCCCTGGGCATGACATATGATTGACAACTAGACATCATCTGGTGGTTTTGTCCGGTAAGTAAGCCATAACATGTTGTAGACATATTGAAATAGCACACATAGTATGACAACAAAATAGCCTAATCTAAGGATGTTCTGGTACACAATCTCAACTTATGTACATAATACAAGGATATTGGAACTCAAAATAGGAATGCAGAGAACTTNACAAAATAGCCTAATCTAAGGATGTTCTGGTACACAATCTTAACTTATGTACATAATACAAGGATATTGGAACTCAAAATAGGAATGCAGAGAACTTAACCAAAAGAAATCTCATGCATAATTCTTCTTGAAATTCAGGCTGGCTAAAAGAATTATATAATAATCTATCACTCAGTCTTCTAGAGATAGGAGGCAATAATATGGAGACCAAATACTCTTCGAGGGAGGCAAAATTTGTAATTAAACTTCTTTTATTTGTGCAGAGACAATTATAGAATAAAAATATTAATTCTCTTACAAGAAATTTATTTGAAATTCTTAAGCCCGAATAGAATAGAAATCTAGCACTTTACTCAAATTCACTTGAATAATGCTTGAGCTATTANAATAATATGGAGACCAAATACACTTCGAGGGAGGCAAAATTTGTAATTAAACTTCTTTTATTTGTGCAGAGACAATTATAGAATAAAAAAATTAATTCTCTTAAAAGAAATTTATTTGAAATTCTTAAGCCCGACTAGAATAGAAATCTAGCACTTTACTCAAATTCACTTGAATAATGCTTGAGCTATTAGTGCAGATAACGTGTTGTAAAGCTAAGAGATATAGAGAATAGAATTTCAAAGAGACAGAGAATATAATATAAAAATGCTAGGAAAAGAGTTCCTCAACTTGTGTCTTTCTTAATGTGATGAAGGCTTCCTTTTGTAGGCCTCTAATCATAATGATCATCAAATACAAAATTAACTTTGGGTAATCAATGAATGGGAGTTATAGAGTCACATACGAATATCTATTTACTTGGTGTAGTAATTGGTAGGTTAGGGATCATCAACCTTTATATATACAATATATATAATATATACAATGATGTAGATAGAATATATATAATGCAATATTTACAACATCTTTTAATTTTTAAATGTTTTTTATTAAAGTGATTTGTGATTATAATTGTGATTGAAGCGGGTTATGGTGATAAGTTTTTGGTAATGGTAATGGTAGTGGTGGAGGCAGAAGATGGGCAGTGCAGCTAACAATGAAGGTGGACATGTGAAAATGGTGGCAAGTTAGCCAGGGAAAGAAAGTAACAATAAGGGTGTGTTTGGGTAGCTGGACCAGATAGGGTTGTATATCTTTTTTTATATCCTAACCCATCCAATTCAAACCCACTCATCCACTTGCAATTCAAGGTTAGGGATACCATCCAATCCAAACCTTTGTGTGGGAAACAAATATGTATTTGTGTGGGCCCCATAAATTACACCAAATATTTTGTAATAATTTACCATTATACCCATTACTCTATTCAATACAATCTAATCCTATCCTATGTTTGGATTGGTGACTTATCTTAACTAAATTAAACATTTTTCACATATACAAAATAACATATATGCATTAAAATATTAATTTTTTTTAATAGCAAAGGGAATAATTGATATAAAGGTAGAACATATATATTAGATCTAAACAATTAAATTCTCCTTTACTTTTTTTTTTTATGAGAAATTCTTCTTTTCTTCTCTCAACTAAATTCCCCTCATTTTCCATCTGCCTCCTCACTGCCCAGCGTACCTCCATTCTCCACATCCACTTTCTTTTTCTTGTTTTTTCCATGCCTTCTCATCTTCCTCAGATTCCTCGGCTTAGAGCAACAAATCCCTTCATATTTTTGCCGAGCCTTTCGAGCTGAGCCTGGTTGTACTCCACCATTCTCCACAAATCTCCATTTTCTGCCCAAGTCTTTCGAGCTGATTCCCTCAACCCCCAAAACCCTTCATATTTTTCCTCTTTTACATCAATAAGTCTAGTTTCTCTCTCATCACCCAACAAATCCATCTCTTTGTTATTGTTCACCGAAAACCCTTTGGACTTCTCACTCGTACCAGCAACACCATTTTCAACGATGGGTTAGGGCTTGGGGTTCAACAGATGAACAATATTCAAAAAAAAAAAAAAAAATCATCCTTNAGCGATGGGTTAGGGCTTGGGGTTCAACAGATGAACAATATCAGATGGGTTGGGGCTTGGGGTTCAACAGATGAACAATATTCAAAAAAAAAAAAAAAAATCATCCTTAAGACGAAGAGAAGAATATTCAGAGATGCTTGAATCTGTGTCTTCTTCGTCGCCTCTGTACAACAATCCCTTGTTGACAAGCTCAGTGAAGCTTGGACGACAGTGAAGCAACGAGAAATGAGGGGTAAATATGTCTGATCCCTTGTTAACCTGTAGGCTGGGTTTGTAACCCATGGGAGGGGTGGGTTAATTTTAACCTTTGTAGATGGGTTACAAAGTACTGTAGCAACCGGGTCTAGGTTAGACCCGAGATTTGTATCGAGCCTCAAAAATGACTTCTCAAACAAGGGATTTCTGGGTCCCACTATTATTTTATCTCATCCTACTAGTGGATAACCACCTTTAACCCACTATCCAAACGCCCCCTAAAGGTTATGGTTGGAAGGTTATTTTAAGACTTTTATGTTTTTTGTCCACTCAGTCAATTTAGTCCAATGGAAACTTGAGGGGGGTAAATTGTTTAAATTGAAACCAAAGGGAACTAACTGTAACATGACCAAAAGTTGAAGGGGGTATCAATCACAATGAATTGATTGATTCTTTCCTTGTTTAACGTTTTCTATGTGGGTCTTGTGCAAAATTAAGTGAAAATAATGAAACTATAGCCCTTTGGTGTTTTGTGTGTCGTAGATTGTGTTCCTGTGTTTCATTTTCCCTCTTCAATCTACTTGTTTAAAATTTGACAGCATTATAATATGTGGAAGGAGAATTTTAGAGAAGACCATCCCATAGTGTCATTTACACTGTCTAATTAAAGTTCCTGCTATGCCCTTAACAAGACTACCGTCAGTGTCACATGTGAACTTCTCCGTTTGTTTTAACTAGGGTATTGGTCGGGAGGAACCAATAGCTATGATTTTTAAGGTATAAAGCTAAAATTTAAGACAAATTCCAGCTGACGGGACAAATTGAAACAAGGGCCACAGCTCAAGGAGCATTTATGATATTTGTGCTACTAAAAATTACGTATATAGTATAAAAAACCACAATTAGTTGTGCAAAAAGTTTACAAAAGTATTGAGATGAATAGTTCAGAGGCTCATTTTGCCATCCAGAGCTTTCACTCTGTTACCATCATTTATTGTATTCATCAGTACTAGTTTCCTTATGAAGAAATGCATTGAGAACTTGTCCTTGAAAGGGAAAACATTATAAGTTACAGTTCTCATTTTAAAAACTAAAAAACTAGCACACTGAAGTGTTTTAAGTTGTACTGGTTTAGAAAGAGTTTTAAATTATAGAACTGTAAATAACCGAATAAAACATCAAAAATATCAGAGATTATGTAGTTCATTCTTCCGTTAAGAATCAACCTAATGAATTGCTACATTTCATAAAATACATATCAGAATGGAGGATGGATATTAAACTTCTAATTTTCAATGAATAGGAGCAGCAATAATCATGTAATGCATCATCTAGTCTTTGATAATTCTATTTGGTTTCTTCACATTTGTTTTTGATAATATTTCCCAGTATACACAGATTTTGACATATGAAACACCAGATTTCAATGGAGGAATGAAATTGTTACGCTATTTACATCTACAAGGAATGCACAAGAAAAGAAATGGAAAATCCAACCCTCAAAGAAATGCATGCTTATGCATTAGGGTCCAATTGACACCAAAACCAAAATCTGATACACAGATCATTGACATGCAAACAAAACCTATTCCGAATAATTAAAGCACATCATACAATTTTCATACTGCCTTACCATACTAACCCTGTATGACAAGCTCATTAATATATTATGAGTGTTAGATTACTCTAGTATTTCAAGTATTAGAGTGAGTTTAGTCATTTTATTTGTTTTGTGTTGCCCTACCATACAAGGGCTTTTATTATGTATCTTAGTTGATGATGAATTGCAAAGTATGATTATTCTTTTCTTCTCAGTTCCCTGTCTTATTTCTTGTCTATTTTATTAAAGTTATCAAATGACTAAACTCACCCAAATACTAGAAATACTAGACTACTCTAACATGCTCTACATAAGACTCAAGCTTGGGAATTGGTGTCCTTGCCCCCTAGCAAACGCACCATTGGTTGTAAGTTGGTCTATAAAATCAAAACCAATTCTGATGGCTCGATGGTAAGGTGTAAGGCTCGACTTGTAGCAAAGGAATTTGCTCGGAAGTATGGTTTGGACTATAATGAGACTTTTGCTCCAGTTGCCAAGATGACAATTGTTTGCAATATGATTGTACTGGTTGTCATTCATCAATGGAGTTTGCCTCAGATGGATGTAAAAAATACATTTCTCCATGGTGATTTATCTAAAGAGGTGTTGATGACTCCTCCTCCTGGATTGTCTACTAGTCCTGGTCAAGTATGTAGACTTCAAAAAGCTCTATATGGCCTTAAACTAGATCTCGGACCCTGGTTTGCCAAGTTCTCTTCGGTTATCTACGATTTGAGTTTTCACGCCGGTGATCATGATTCTATTCTCTTTTTGCGATCAACTGCTTTTGGCCTTATTGTTCTCTTATTTTATGTTGACGATATTATTACTACTGGTAATGACATCAATGGCATACAAGTCTAGAAACTTCAATTGCAGGACATTTTGAGATGAAAGATTTGAGTCAGCTTCGATATTTCTTAGGGATTGAGGTTGTTTCTTCTCCCAAAAGTTATCTTCTTTCTCAATCTAAGTATGCATCGGATGTTATTCAGCAATTTCATTTATCAAATAATCGAACAATTGGGGATACCCATGGAGCTCAATGTTCAAGTATTCTTTTGCGAAAGGCATTCTCTTGCCTGACCCTACTCTATATCGCACTATTGTTGGGAGTTTGATATATCTTACTGTTACCCGTTCGAATATCTCTTATGTTGTACACATTGTGAGTCAGTTTGTTGTCTCACCTATCACTATTCATTAGGCTGCTGTTCTACGCATTCTTCAATAATTTCAAGGTACTATGCATCAGAGTCTGTTATTTTCTTCCTCCTCTTCTACAGATCTAAAGGCTTACTCTGATACTGATTGGGTTGGCGATGCTATAGATCGCAAATCCACTATTTGTTTTTGTCTCTTTTTAGGTGATTCTCTTATATCATGAAAAAGCAAGAAGCAAACAGTAGTTACTCGTTCTTCTGCTCTTCTGCTGAAGTTGAGTATTGCGCTATGNCCATTTGTTTTTGTCTCTTTTTAGGTGATTCTCTTATATCATGAAAAAGCAAGAAACAAACAGTAGTTACTCGTTCTTCTGCTCTTCTGCTGAAGTTGAGTATTGCGCTATGACATCAATTGCAGCTGAGATAGTATGGTTTCAATGGCTACTCGCTAATCTTGGCATATCCTTCTCCACTCCTACCCCTATGTATTGTGGCAACACTAGTGCTATTCAGATTGCTCACAACTCAGTCTTCCACAAGCGCACTAAACACATTGAGATTGATTGGCACTTTGTACGCCATCATCTTTAACTTGGCACACCTTCTCACCATTTTCTATCATCTCCTATGCAGTTAGCAGATTTCTTTACGAAGTCTCACACCATAGCACGTCTTCGTTCTCTCCTTAACAAACTCTTGATATTTTCAGCTATCACATCATGAGTTTGAGGGGAGTGTTAGAGAAGTCTAGTATTTCTAGTATTTGGGTGAGTTTAGTCATTTTATTTGTTTTATGTTGCCCTACTATATAAGGGTTTTTATTATGTATCTTAGTTGATGATGAATTGCACAATATGATTATTTTTTTCTTCTCAGTTCTCTCTCTTATTTCTTGTCTATTTTATTAAAGTTATCACTAAGATTGGCTATATTCTTCACAAATCACAACATAAAGCACAAAATTCAGTTAATTATACCAAAAAACTGAAGACATGCAGTTGGGAGTAGTTGGATGCCCAACATTATTAGGGAAGGCAAGACATTTTCACAAGTGGAACTAAAATTGAAATCTAGATATCCAGAAGGTAAGAAGGAAATATATTCTATGATGGAAATCAACATAAACCAATGAGCTAGATGTTATAAAAGAAAATGAGAAAACCTGAATTTATTAATTCCACATACAAGATCATTAGGAGGATCATGATCGTGTTGGAGGGCCAAAGGAGCCAAGCTGGAGATATTAGTTTCAGCAATGATTGAGGCAGAAGCCCCAAGATTGTTAAGAATAAGGGGATCATCTTGTCGAGGCCACAGTGTTGTCGTAATTTCTGATGATGGGAAATAATGGAGATTTGAAGGCAAGCCTGCATCTAGCTGGAGCGAGAAATTGGTCCTTGGCAATAGATGCTGGGAAAGTTGCACCTGAACAAAATAACAGAAGAGTGAGTATAGATAAAGGGAAAGTAGCTGATTCAAAAAGTAAGCAATCTACTCAAGTAAAAATCTAGTCTCAATTGTGGAGCATGTTAAAATTTTATTTATTATTTCTTTTGTCTATTTGATGAGGGGTAGTCTAATCTGTTTCTTGATGCAGGGCTTTATGTATTAAACTCTTGTAACTATTTTCATGATTATGGAATATTAGAATTGCAGTCTTCTTTTCTCTCTCTTCTTCTATCTATATATTTTCTTCTTTGTCAGTTTGATCGAAACTTTCATGGTATCAAAGCCAAGGCAATGACACAGTCAGAAACAAACCCAGAAGAAGAGTGTCAGTGTGAACAGTGAGGCAGCAACACAGTCAGAAACAAACCCAAAAAAAATGTATCATGTGAACAGTACTGTTCATATGTTGTATAGTGCTCCACAAATTGTGGATCACACATGGTTGCTTTCATCTCTCTTTG